TCGGTGGAAGACCCATCCGTAAACACGGTCCAGACTTTCTTGTCACTGTCCAGCACTTCTTGGTATGAGCATTCGGCCAAGAAATCCGCCAGGGCTTGAGCCTTAATGGCAGCCCTCGGACGGTAGCTGATGCTGAATTCGGTGAGCTCAAAAGCCCACTTGGCTAGCCTACCGGATTTTTCAACCTTGCCAAGAACTTTTTCCAACGGCTGATCAGTTAAGACCACTATCTGATGGCAATCAAAATAGGGCCTCAGCTTCCGAGCAGCTACCACTACCGCGAAAGCAACTTTCTCGAGTAGAGGATAGCGGGTCTCGGCATCCGTCAGTGTATGACTGACGAAATAAATCGGTTGCTGACTCTTACTCTCTTCCCTCAGCAATACTGCGCTGATGGTAGCTGGGCTAACGGCCACATATAGGTATAGAGTTTCTCCTTCAACTGGGCTAGCCAGCGTTGGGAGTTGAGCCAGATGCTCCCGAAGCTGTTGAAAGGCGTCTTTTTGCTCTTCCTCCCAAACAAGCTCTTTTGTTTTCGGGAGTTTCAGGGCTTTGAAGAAGGGTAACCCCTTATCCGAAGCTCTGGAAATGAACCTCGAGAGGGCTGCCATTCTTCCGGTGAGCCGCTGAACATCCCGCTTTGTTTTCGGCTCAGGAAGGTCGAGCGCCGCTTTGACTTTAGAGGGATTGGCATCAATCCCCCTTTTGCTGACCATGAAACCCAGGAATTTCCCTGTCTTCACGCCGAAGACACACTTCTTCGGATTCAGCTTCATTTGATGCTTTCTCAAGGTGGCGAAAGTTTCAGCCAGGTCCTTTACATGGTCCTCTAGTTTTCTGCTTTTGACGATCGAATCGTCAACATAGACTTCCATGTTTCGGCCCTTTTGATCGGCGAAAACTTGATCCACCAGCCTTTGATAGGTTGCCCCCGCATTTTTCAATCCGAAGGGCATCATTTTGTAATTATACACCCCAGCGCTCGTGACGAATGCTGTCTTGGCTCGATCGTCGGGGTGCATAAAGATCTGATGATACCCCGAGAATGCGTCCATGAAACTAAGCAAGGCATGGCCACTTGTCGAATCGACTAGCTGATCGATTCTTGGCAAGGGATAGAAATCCTTTGGACAAGCCTTATTTAGGTCCGTGAAGTCAACGCACATCCTCCAGGTACCATTGGGCTTCTGAACCATCACCACATTTGCCAGCCATTCCGGATATTGGCAAGGTTCAATGAACCCTGCCTCCAATAATTTTTTGACTTCGGCTGCGATGTCTCGGTTCTTATTGGCGGAGTAATTCCGCTTCTTTTGCTTAACTGGTCGACACGCTGGGTCAACATTAAGCTTATGGGAGATGAGGTCTGAACTTATCCCGGGCATATCAGCTGCCGAGAAAGCAAACACATCTCTGTTATCCCGAAGGAGCTGAATAAGTTCACAACGGGTGTTAGGATCAAGGTCCATCCCGATTGTTACACATTTGTCAGCATCTCCTTCGGCCAACTCAACTGTTTCAGTCTGTTGGTCCATGTCCATTGCCGAGGGACTGGACTCTTCAGAATCTGGTCTGCTGCCAATGTCAGCAGGTGTCCCAGTCTTTGTGTTCTTTGGCTGGCTCTCTGAGTCTTGCGGCTCAGCTGAAGAGTCAACCTTTTCCCTTTCGGGACCTTTTTCTCTGGGCACTGATCCTTGGGCCGAAGCACTTAGGCCTTTCGGCTTTTTTGTGCTTGGCTCTCTTTCTTTTTCTTTCTCCTCCTCATCCTTGTCGTTATCTGGGCGACTACTGGATGGCTTGAGGTAGTTGCACCTTCGGGCGTCCTTTTGGTTGCCCTGTATCCTTTCGGGGAAGCCGGCGTCTGAGACATAAATCATCAGCTGATGATAAGTTGAGACGACCCCTTGGATCTCGTGAATTATGGGTCTCCCCAAAATCACGTTGTACACTGAAGGAGCGTCGATGACCAAAAACTCAATCATGACGTTCCGGGCTGCCTCATCGCAACCGATGGTGACAGGAAGCGTCACCTTCCCGTCTGGATAAGTTGAAGCCCCATTGAACCCGGATACCGGATAGGGTACCGGCGTAAGGTGCTTGGGCTTCAGCTTAATTTGGTTGTAGGCCTTTCGGAACAGAATGTTTGCTCCGCTGCCACCGTCAACAAGGACCTTACTGACGTCGTGGTTGGCCACCGTGGCGATGATCACCAACGGATCCTCGTGAGGGAACGTAATCCCCCGACAGTCGGCGGCTGTGAACGTCATGTTCGGCACCGGCGATTGGGGAGCTTGAATGTCAGCGTTGTTCACCTGGTGAGTCAAAGCTCTAAGGTGACGCTTGTGCTCCCTCCGAGAGTATATTCCTCCCGAGATAACATTGATCGGAGGGAATTTCCCCTCCGGTTTTTTACTGTTTTTCCGGGGGAAATCAAGGTCCTGCCGAGGGTCCTTTGCTAGCCTCTCGGATTCTTTTTTCTCGCGTTGATCCGCGATGTATTTTTTCAAGTATCCCTTCCGGACCATGTCCTCTATCTGGTCCTTCAGCTGGATACACTCTTCAGTGTTGTGGCCCGAAGACTCGTGGAACTCACACCACTGATTTTTATTTTTTCGCTGATACCACTCTGGGAGTGGTCTCGGCTTTCGGTAACTCTGCTCCTCCTTCGTCACACTGTAAATTTTGGCGCGTGGAAGAGAGAGCGGATTGTAGGACTCATATCTGCCTGTGTATGAGGCAAACCTGTCCTTCTTTAGGTCGTTGGCCGGAGATGGCTCCGGAGCCTTTGATTTTCCCTTTGCCTTATGGCCTTGGCCTTCAGACAAGGGTATTTGCCTCTGTTTCCCTCCCCCGGATTGAGGTTGGGTTTTTGCTTTATTCCATTCTTCGGCTCGGATGAACTTATCCGAAGCACTAAGAGCTTCCTCCAAGGTCTGCGGGGTATGCATGACCATGAAGTCTAGGAATTTTCCTAGCTGAAGGCCATTCTGCATTGCAAAAACAGCGAGCCCCTGGTCCAGCTGGGAGACGCTTGATGACTCGTTGCTGAAACGGGTCAGGTAGTCTCGGAGGCTTTCGGTTTCCCCCTGTTGCAGATTCATGAGCTCTGCGGTAGTCTTCTCTCGGCGGTTTGCCGTGGAAAACTTGCTCCTGAACTTGGAGGACAGATCATCCCAACCTGTTATGGAGCCTTGCCTTACTCCCTTGGAGATCCACGCTTGCGCGACCCCCTTGAGAGTGGTTGGGAAATATTTGCACCAAGTCGCCTCGGATCTGGGGCAAAGATGCATATGAGTCTCATACGAGGCCACGTGGTCCTTCGGATCCGTGGTCCCGTCATATGTGATATGCGACGGTATTTTAACCGTGGGTACGCGCTCTTCCAGTATCCATTGCTCGAATGGTGAACTAGCGGGTAGCATAATGGCCTTGCCCTTGTTCCTGGCCGAAGGGACCGCGCTCCGCCCTCTTAGAGAGGTAGGAGTGGTTTTCGTCCCTGGCTGGGAAGTCTGGGCCTCGGCTGCAGGGAACGAGAGGCGACTACGCACGCTCGGTTCCTGGCCGCCGAGTCGGTCAAGGACGCTTCTGCGAGCAGTCTCAGGTTCCCGGCGAGTATATTCTGGCCGAGAAGCTGAGCTGCTGCTCTTATGCGCTGCTGGTCTTGAGGATGAGGATCCTTTAAATAATTGAGAGTTCTTTTTCCTCTGTTTTTCATTTTTCCAAGAATCCTCCTCCCACTCTTCCAGTTCCCGGAAGGAAGGAAGCTTCCCACCGTCATGGTCTAACTTCCTCCGCTGATGCCGGGTATGCGGAGGAGTTCGATCACGAGGCGGTGGCATATTCTGTGCCCTCATTGCCTCCATGAGTACTGCCAGCGCTCTTGCCACCTCTTCCGAACTGGGCCCCGTCAAAGGGGTCCCCGGCCGAGTGTGGTAATGAGGCCGTGCAGCCGATGGTTGGCTTTGGGACACTGAATATGTCCTATGATCAGACTGACCCCTGCTAGACCGAGAGTGGTCCGGCCTATATTGAGAGTCATGCATTATAGGAGATAGGGAATCCTCCTTGTGTGATCCTCCCCCGAGCCGGCACCCTTGGGAGAGTTCCGGTCCGGCGAGGGTGATGGTGTAGGGGTTTTAGGCTTTTCGCCCGCTCCTTGACGGAGGCTTTTGCTCTTGCGGTTCTTAGCCATAGCTGCTAAGATAATTGCAAGATGATCTTGGTTAGGAATTTGGCTTAAAGATTTTTGAAAGTCTTCCCCACAGACGGCGCCAAATTGTTTCGGTTGAAAACAATGGGACCTTGCCGAAGGTCCGCTGAAGTGGAGAAGGCTGGATTCGGTCCAAGTTGTGTTGGGCCGAAGGTTTCCTGCACAGTGAACACACGTAAACTAGCCTCGGGGGTGTTTCCGAGGAAGGCCCCTCCGATGCTAAAGTCAGTACAATGTGTAAAAGGAAGACACTATGCAAGAGAGTTTGTAGCTTGAGGCTTTTGTGGAATATTTCTGAATGCAAGAATGAGCATACGAATTGGAATACGAATGTATGTGTCAATATGATGGCTTTTATACCTCATCATACATGGAGAGGTTGGGCTTTAGCCCAATTGGCTTACTTTGTGGGCTGACCTTTGACTCTTGAGCAATTGGAGAGTTGAACCTTGACCTTGGGCTTTTAATTGGATCATTTAGTGCTTAGGCCCAATTTTGACTAAATTGGACCCAAACACCAAACAACCGCGATTCTTCAGCTCAATATGTTCAAAAGTTACATTTTTCCCCTCTACATCACCATACTCAAAACAATCCAAAAAATGTGCATGATAACCACATCAAACAATAAATTCACCCATTTTTAACTCTCAATCTCTATATTCTAGGTTCACTTTTCCTCTACATCAAACAAATATCAGATCTAATATACTTCCATAAACATAACTTTCTCATAAATTAAACCAAAAAAACAATAAAAATATTAAAAAATCAAAAGATGATACTTTACCTTACAAGGCCAATTCTCGCGATAGAAATGGCAAACGACGCGATCACTGGCTTTAACAATAGAAAAGAAATCCTTTTCAGAAGGAATCTCAGAATACTCGCCATGGCCAAGAGAGATCCAACGGCTACGCTTCTCCGCCATTTTCTTCATCTGTTGAATCCTCTTCTCTCTCAACACTTCGATATCGTCGCTTTCGAGGCGATCTAGGGCTGCAATTTCATCATCGATCTTGTCCTCCATTGCTTTCGCCACTGTTAGAACTTGCTTCTCCAAAATCTGCAGACATTTGATTAATTTTTTTAGAATTGTGACGAAATTGATTCACAGATTTGAGAAAAAGAGGGATGAATTTGACGAACCTGTTGAACATTAGGGTTTTCCATTTTGATTTGTCGGGAAAATTGGGATTACGCCGGAAATTGTAGAAGGAAGGTTTTTGTTTCTGGAAAAAAAGAGAGAAAATTTAGGTGGGGTAGTAGAAGTCTAGAAGATAGATTTCTCAGTTGCTCACTCTCAATTGACACGGTCACACGGCGCTAAAGCCCTTTTGAATTCGTTCTAAAACTAGCGTGTACAGACTATAGAGGTGTTAAAAATCGATTGGATACGACTTACTCTATAATTGAAAAGTGACTTGTAATATAACACGGCTTGTATTATCAGACTGGTCCAATATGATTATAACCTGAATTAGACTAAATCTGACTTAATCATTCAAGAAGACACCTCCACATTAGACAGAGAGCACCTTTTCACCGTTTAGACTTTTGACTTGGTAGTTTAGGGTTTTTTTCTTTAAATTAATTTACTTTTTTTTTTTTAGATGAGCTATGATAAAATTTTGAGAGAAGAGTGATCTTGCTTTCTTGAATTTATAAACTCACAGAAGAGTATCATTTAAAAACATAATTTAATAGTGTACAGATTTAAAATATTAATCTAAATAATACGGAGTATTTTTTTTTTTATGCACAATCATATTATTAAATTTAATACAAGTACAGTTATGACATAATTAGCTATTATTATTAATTTCAAAATGCAAGATATAGTCACGTGTTAATTGATTTTTTCCAAATTTAGTAATTGTATAATAGTCTTTGAATTAATCATATAATAAGTCTTAATAACACGTGGGATATAAGGAGTTAAATTAATATACATACGAAAAATTAATTAAATTAATATACATATTAAAGTCATTCATAATTCCTTAGAATAATAAGGTTCCATTAAGGCATTAATCTTAAGGCATGCTTGGGAGATTATGTATTACTAGGGTAATAAAAGTCAGACTAAGCAAAATGAAAGTGAATATAGGGAAGGAGGAGGTAGTGATAATGTGATTGTAATTTGGTGTGTTTGGATTGGAGGAAATGGAATGAAAGGAAGGGAAGGGAAATGAATGGATTGGTTATCTTTTATTTGGATAACAAATGAGAAAGAAAAGGAATTGGAGGGGAGAGAAATGGAGGGAATTAATTGTAAGAAATTAATCTCTCTATCAATGGAAAGATTTGGAAGGAAAACTCATCTTTCTTCCCTCCCCTCCCCTTCCCCTCCCTCCCCTTCCCTTTTTAATATCCAAACAAACTGTTAGTGATGGATGTGGTATGAGGTGAACAAAAATGAACTAATACCCTCATTTTGTGGGTAATTGTTACACTAGAAGCCGGCAGTGGCGGATCCAGAAATTTATAAATGGGGGTCCAAAATATTTTCCAACTTAATCATACCAACGTACTAAATAATTATAAAAAAAATAAATAAAAAAAAAACCTTTTTTGGATTTTTGAACAAACTAATCCAAAGTTCCTTTCTTTTTTCTTTCATCAACCACCTTCTCACTAATAAAAAAAGTAGAATACTACTTTAAATAATCGGAAACAACTAGTCAATTTGATATGTTACCCTCGTTTCATATTATTTGCGACAAATTGTACTATTTATGAGACATAAATTATTCATTTATTGTAAATAATATGAAACGGGTGTAATAAATTAAATCTAAAATCAATCGATTACCTAAGTCAAACACTCACTCTAGTACTATAAAGTATACAATCTCAATCAATAAAATGCACAAAGTAAAGCTATAATAGTTTGAGGTAGCACTGTCAAAACGGTTTGACAGTTCGGTTTCGGTTCGGTTTGAAATCGGTTCGGTAGTTAATCAGGTCGGTTTGGAATCGGTTTAATTGTCTCACGGGTCGGTTTTGGTTCGGTTAAAATAGTTAGCGGTTCGATTCGGTTTCGGTTTATTCTTAAGCGGTTTTAATTCGGTTCGGGTTGTAAACAGTCCGGGTAGTAAACGGTTCGGTGCAGGCGGGTTGCGGTTTTTTAACGATGCAGTGTAAACGGTTTTTATCCCGGTTCAAACAGTTTCGGGTTGGAAACGGTTTCAGGTTAGAAACAGTTCGGTTCTTTTTTGGTTCAGTTTATAACTGGTTCAGTTCTTTTTCGGTTCAGTTTATAACTGGTTCAGTTCTTCGATGGTTTAACCACTTTAACGTTATTCATATCGGTTCCATTTCAAGTTTACTAAATTACGATTCGGGTCGGTTTTCGGTTTCAAAAAATAAATTGTTTATCGAGTTGTTTGGATTCGGGCAGTTAAATGGTTTAGGTTTGAAATTTGATAGTACTTGCTAACCTTTTGCATTCACAAGTTTTATATAAAGTCGGCAAGTCGCGAATCATTTCTTATTTAGGCATCATATTATAAACAAATTCTCATTGATTTTATAAATACATATTATGTTCTGTTTCAAGTTTAGTCATACTGATTTTACTAGTTTATTACGAATTAGATTATAAGAGTTAGTGTATTAATGTATTATTGTTTTACAATTAGGTTATTATATGCTTCTTATTTAATCATTTATATACTACGCATAGTATCATAATCATGATTTGATGAGTTTTTGACTTCTTGTGAAATGGAAATTTGCAATTTGGTAATTCGATACTTGATTAGTCAACAAGACTGATAATTATGACTCGTTTATCATTATATATTTTCATGAAATTATGAAGATATTACAAAGTGCTTTGATTTGTATAATGAAAGAAAACACTAATGACTAATTAACAAGGTAATATTGATTAGTTCAATCGATCATATGTACACATTATTAACACATGGCATCTAACCATCTCATAGTTAAATATTCGTATCGTCGTTATTCGTATGTATTAGTACAAAGTTATAGACTCATTAGTGATCTTTTTAAATTTATCTATTTATACATTTTATTAATATAACGTTTTTATAATTTTTACGTGTATGAAAATAAAGATATATACTAGTAGATGTTTTAATACGTGTCTTGGGCACTGATCCCGATCAAATGGGGCAAAAAAATACTAAAGAATTGAGGGAATAATATTTTTGTAGATGAATGTACAACACACAAACACACACGGATCACCACTCTCAACCATAGATTAAAAAATCAATGGTTAGATTTTTTCTCCCACAACACACACGGATCACCACTCTCAACCATAGATTAAAAAAATCAATGGTTAGATTCTTTCTCCCACAACACACACAGATCACCAATCTAAACCATAGATTAAAAAATCAATGGTTAGATTTACATGAAACCCTTTCTCTTTCATCTTCTTCTTCTTCTTCTCGCCTCTCTCTTCTCTCATCTTCCTTATCTTCTTTCCCCCCTCTTTTGATTTACCACGCCGCCATCGACTATACTACCACCGCCAACACTATCAACAACCAGATGCCACAACACCGTCGTGAAAAACACCAACACAGACTCTACATCAACATCAATGGTGCAAAATAACGGTTTTAAGGTCAAATTCGACCATGAAAACTCAAGATCTAGAGTTTTCATGGTCAAATTTGGCCTTGTAAACCCAATTCCGAGGTTTTTGAGTGATCAAATTCAGTTTATAGCTCAATTACAAGTTGAGAACTACTCCGGCGAAACGGTTGTACTCGTCAACGGCGCCAAAACAAAGCCATGAACTCCGAATCGAGAAACTCCATGGAAATTGCATCACCTTCGCAAGAGAATGATCAATCCAAGAATTTCAGAACCCTAACTTTGCTCTACTCCAATTATCTTTGGTCTCGATCCTCCAATTCTCCTTTCATCGGTAAACTTTCCAGTTTTGTCGTCAATTTGGTCGTGCTAGGTCTCGTCGCCAGAAGTTGTGTTTGCCTCTTCCTCTTCCTTCCAAATCGGTTCATTCTTCACAGTAATTTCTCTCTATTTTACTCAGATTATGCTGAATTCAACTTAATTTTGTTTGTTTGATTGCTTGATTTGAGCTTGAGTATTGCGTACTTTTGCAATTCTTACATGTTTGATGTTTCTGTTGATTTTGTTGTAGTGTTGGATTAAGGATTTTTCTGGTGGTTTTAGTGTGATTGTATTGCTAGATTGTTTGAGCTTCTAAAATTGTGCTGAATTTGAAGTTTTTGAGCTCGAATTACTGAGAAATGTTATGTCATTGAAATTCCTTTTACCTTTATGATTTTCGAGTTGGACAGGATGATAGTTCAACATTTACTGTTCGAAGTTAAGGTTTACTAAATGTTGTGACAGTATATTGCAATGTTGGGTAGATCTGGGTTGGGGTTTGGGTTTGGGTTAGGTGGGTGGGTTACGGTTTCGGTTAGGTTTAGGTTGGTGGATCTGGCTTTGGGTTAGGGTTAGGTAGGTGGATCTGGGTTGGTTATGGGTTGTGGTGGTGGGTCTTTATAAGTCGGGTTATGGAGAATTGCGGTGGTGGGTAGGGTGAATTACGGTGGTGGTTTTAGTGGAGGGCGGGGTTTGTTGCGGTGGTGTTAAGGTGATTTTAGAAAGGAGTGGTGGCGGGGCAGACCCTTTTTTTTTTGTTTTTTTATCAGAATGTTCCGATGGAATTTCCGTCGGAAATTTCTGGCGGAATACAATCCATCGGAAATTTCCGACGGACTTTGTTGAGCTTGAAAATCTATTCCAACGAACCCTTTTCCGACAAAGGGTATTGCGACAACCGATTACAACGGAATTCCGTCGAAAATCCGTCGTTATTTTCCTGATTTCTTGTAGTGGTAAACGGTTCGATTTAGAAGTGGTTTGGTTCATAAACGGTTCGGTTTATAACCAGTTCGGTTTACAATCAGTTCGGTTTTTAAATGGTTCGGTGCAAACGGGTAGCAGTTTGCTAACGGTCCGGTGTAAACGGTTTTTTTGCCAGTTTAAACGGTTTCGGGTTGGAATCGGTTTCGGGATAGATACGGTTCGGTTTTTTTCAGTTCGGTTTTCTTTCAGTTCGGTTTATATTTGGTTCAGTTTGTTAACGGGTTCGGTTCTTATACGGTTTAACATTAATCGGGTCGATTCGGTTTCGGGTTTACTAAAATACGGTTCGGGTCGGTTTTCGGTTCAAAAAAATCGGTTTTTAATCGGTTCGGTTCTCATTTGGGTCGGTCGGTTTCGGGCAGTTAAACGGTTTCGGTTTGAAATTTGACAGCACTAGTTTGAGGCCTTTGAGTTTGAGTCTTGGAAAAAGGAGACCTGGAGAGAGAAAATTAAAAAAAGGGGTTGTGAGAGAAGAGGTTCACGTGAGTAACCAACCAAGCATTTAAAAATTAAAAAAATAAAAAAATGCTTTCCAATCTTCATGTGACATATGAGAGCAGTAAGAGTTTGTCAGCAAATGATATATGGATATTTGGAAGGGGTCCAAATTTTTGGGCTTTTTTTAAAACGAACTTGGAACTATAAACTTTTTGTATTTTTTTTTCACAAAATGGGGATGCAGATGCTCCCTAAGAAGGCTTAATAGGTCCACCCATGCTAGAAGGAGGCCAGAGTGGGAAAATATTATCCTCATTATGAGGGTTTCATCTCTCTCTTTTCCTTATGGCACAAGCAATTACCTTATTTCATTTGTAAGCACTTTGTCTCCTACAACACCACAAAATGTTAGCTTATATCCAAAATTACATAACAATAATTCATTTACTATTCTTTGTATACACTCAATTCTCCATTCCACATAACCATATCCTTTAAATAGTGACACGAATCACACGATGATATACATATTCACGTTATGGAGTATTATAAAAACGAATTGAAGTACAAGTACGTTTGTAACTAGACATAGAGGAAATGTAGCAAAAAGAATTACTAATACTTCAATTCTTAAACCATTAATCTGAATGAATAGAACACTAGTTCATCAACAATGATGATATTTATTAGCACTACAATGATCCCTAAACAACGACACCAAATAAATGACAATAATCCCTAAACAACGACACCAAATAAATGACAATAATCCCTAAACAACGACACAATAATCACTAGAGAAAGACACATAGACCATATATCAATACATATATATGGTTCTAATATAAGAATTTACTCTAATCAAAATACTACAAAACAAACATAAGTTTGTATCCTCAAACTACAAGCACACCCTAAACAACACAAGATTATAACATACTCGAAACAATGACAAACAACATGACACAAAATCAAACACGGTCCAAGCTGAACGATGCAATCAACGGAACCTGTGGCATCTGATAAGGGACAACACCCTTTTGCCATGGACATGGCTGTGCAAAAACGCGTAGTTAGCCAAAATTCGCTCCACCAGCCTTCGGTACGAGCACATCCCCATACACACTCCATGCTTAAGGTGCATCATCTGTAATAATAATCGATCAAATAATTCAATTAAAACCTTCTACGTAAATAATTTTATTCAATTATACGAGCCAAGTATTATGTAAAAAGAAGCAAGCTAAGATATCGCGTGACTAATTAAAAATCATCAAGCTAACCTTGGTTCTACGTAGAGCAGATTGAGCAACAAAGTTCCCGGTAGGATGTTGAAGAATCTCAAGAAAATTTGCGTGATCATTTTCATTAAAAACCTCACTGATGATAGGTTCGACGAATTCTTCATGACCTTCTTTAAAAAATTTCTCAACAACATGACTGCCAAACTTGTTCTTAGTTAGACGAATCAGATAACCATGTAAAGCCCTTAGAACTTCTTGCGTAATGTGGAAATCTTTCAATCCAATGACATATTGTACAACATAGTTTCTGCCAATAATCAAACAAAAATGAATCAAGATTAGACTGAAATATACATAACATAGACTAAATTTGAAAATTATATTGAAATTGAAATTATTTTAGAAAACAAACCCATAATCGCTTTCAGATAGCTCCAAGGCATGATTAATAATTTCATGAATGATACGATCACGTTCGGGTGATAGAACCAGTATACAGTTTTGCAATACACAACATCCACTTCTATCCATTGCTATCTCCACACAGTGATCGGCTACTTCACTCAGTATAGGCTGTATAAGTCCAAATTGAAAAATCAAATAAGTAACATACTAATTTACTTTGTAAATTAAACTTATTAAACGAATGGTAGCTAATAATTAGCCAAAAATAAATAAAAACTGTTCGATTAATTATATATTTAAGCGTAAAGACACTTTCAATTATAAAGTTATACAAAAAAATAACACCCATGAATCATATATATTAAGCCAACATTTAGATTACACACGTTTAAGAGAAACAAAATTTAAAATATGCACAACAAATCATACACACAAAATCGCCGGCCACAGGGAAGCTCTAATTTTACTTCATAAATATAACGACTAAATCTTTATGTCAATGCCAGTAACAATAACACCCTAAGTCTTGAGAAAAGACGGGACTAATTTTTGTCGTACATCTTTTTAACAAAAAAATGTAACACGCTAAAATTGGGAGATATTGTACGGTACACACGGGTGTATACAAAATTTTATAAAATTAGAAACATTGAACTTAAACTAACTGTATTAAAATCCCAATTCATGCGAAAAAACAAATACGAGTACTCCGTAATATACTAGTGAAAATTTAATGCCAATAACAATAACACACTTTTTGTAGTAACACTAATGCAAATTTAATAACAATAATAATGAGAATAAAGAAGAAATTAATTACATACCGCAGTGATTTCATAAACATCTGTCAAAGCTTTCAAGACATGAAAACCATTCATATTCTTTACTAGAGCCACCACTCCTCCCCTAATTGCATTCATAACAATCGCCTTCTCTTCTAGACTATCCGAATCCAAGCAACTCAGTAGTTTCTGTACTCCCCTAGTCCTAAAACACAATTAATCATAAATAAAATTAATCAACCAACATTATCATAATTAATCAAAATTCAATCTTGTAAAAAAAATTATACAAATACGAACTTACCCAACATTATCAAGGCAAATGCGAAGAAAATCATGTTGATTAGCAACAAGAGCCTTTAAGATATCGACGATGTCTTGATGATCAAGTATATCCAATAGCTTATGAAAGAATTCATTACCACAAGAATTCATCAAGATTAAAGATAAACCCTGTTTAATCTCGGAAATAACCATCTTTAGCCCTTCCATATGCCCTAAGTCGAACTTATTAATCATCATGAGACTAAATTCTTTTTCAATCGCGTATTTCAGAACTTTTCCCTTGATCTCTTCCCACGACATCATCGACGGGGTTACACTACCAACAAGCCCTCGTGTTCGAGGGATTGCTATCGTTGTTGCTGTCGTTGTCGCCCTCGTGTTCCTCCTTGGATAATAATTATTGTTGTAATTAACATTGTTACGACGATGATGACAAGTAGTAGTATTATTATTATTACTGAGATTTTGTTGGAAAGTGTTGTACAAAAGAAGCGTCAGAAAATCAGGATTATAGTAATGATTACTATTATTGTTATTAGTATAATTGTTACCAAGGACGGGCTGAATCTCGTTTCGAGGCAGCATTGCGAAATAATCAAAAGGAGGAACGCAACCCGAACCTAAACCCGAACCCGAGCCTAAACCTGAACCTGAACCCGAACCTGACAAAGAACCGGGGACAGTGTTGTTGATGAGGTTCGGGTAGTGTGGATTAGTGACGACTTCTTGATTTGCAGCAGCCATAATAAGTTCTCGCATTCTATTCAACTGTTGTTGGAGATCATGATAATAAGAATCATTGTTGTTAGGGCGAGGGAGGTTCGGGAATTGCGAAGCTGAAGCGGAACCTGATAGCGAAAGCCGAGAGAATTGATCTTGTAAAGGAGAAGAGGAAGACGGAGGGTTGGAAGAAAAAGAAGGACGCCATTGACGGTCCATTGATTGAGGGAGAAAACTCAAAGAAAAAGATTGCTTGTTAGAGAGAAATTGAAGGAAAAAAAGTAGGGAGAGAGATATTTATAAAGGGTTTAAAGAAGATCGAGTGATTAGGGTTTTAGGAAGATCGAGTATCAAGGGGGTTTAAAAAAGATTGTTTTTTTGTTGAAAAAGATAGCAAAAAAGATTTACTAGAATCTTTATATACGAATAATATGGTTATTATTTTGACATGTATTGGTTGATTATTTGTTGATGATTGTTTACTACTAGTATTTGATTATTATTATTACTACAAAAGATAACACCTATCTTTTTGGTAGGTTGTATGCCTTTTGTTTGTATGATATATTTAACCACTTTGATTTGTTATGGAGTTTATATTTATCTAATCACTTGATTAAATTATTAATTTTTTTTTTTTTGAATTCTATTAATGATATATTTGTAGGTTATATAGAAAATATATTTATTTAAATTGTTTTTGTTGAGATTACACCTGATCTATATCTATTTTTGAGTTTAAAAACGGTTAGTCGGTAACGGTTACACTGTTACACATAATCTTAAACTATAGATGTAATTAACTAAACTTTTTTGGATAGGGGATTTTATTGATTCGCTAATCCATTTTCTATATAGTAATTTTATAATTAATTAATAATGTTGACCTTGTACGTAATAGATCATTAAATTAAACAAAATAACAAAACATAGAAAGTAAAAAATTTCCATAAAGTGAAAGCATGAAAAGTCATTGGCCCGATAGAACTTTAGACTTACCATGATCAACCAAATAACACTTCATATGTTAAACCAATCATCCAATTAATGGTACTCATTATAAAAAATAATTCTATTTTTATATATAAATCACTAATAATGTCAAGGGGTGCAACTGTACAAGGCCTTCAAAAATTAATTAACACGAAGTCGTTGCGAATTCAATCCATCTACAATATCTTCTTGTAAAGCATATTTGGAAAAAATCGCCAAAATCAAGGAGAGCATCATTTAAAGTGTGAATTATCCCTTATATATGTGATTAGTGGATAAAGGAGAAACAGACGTTTTCATTATAAGGCATTGTTCACTCCACCTTAAAAAAAATAATATTAAGTAAAAATAATTTCAATTCAATAAAAATAAGTTCAGTTCAATAAAAATAAGTTTGGTAACTACAAAAAAGAAATATAATAGAAAATCGATAAAAATAATTTCAGTTCAGCAAAAATAATTTCAGTTCAGTAAAAATAATTTCAGTTAAGTAAAAATAATTTAAGTTCAGCAAAAATAAGGTAAAGTGAACGGGGCCTAACTCATGAGCTTAGCCTGCCATTTATCCCGCAAATGATCAGCAAATTAAAATGTTATAACCAAAAATGTGTTAAGTGTATTCTCAAAGATTATTTGAAAAAGAAATACTCGTAAAATGGAGATAAATAACTACTCTGTAAAATAAGTCTTGAGCTAACCATGTCAAATTATTTTTATTTTTATTTTTTTTTTGAAGGGGAGAAGCTGTAAGTGACTATAAACCTTTTACTCGTAGCAAAAATTGTGGATAAAATAATCTTATATTGCTATTGCTGTTAATGCATGATTTGGCATTTTTCGTCCTCAATACGATAAAATAAAAAAGGAAAATAGAAGTAGCTATAAGGTCTGGATTAATGAATAAAGAGTAAATCGACATTAATTACGTACATCGATCTATTTGTGATTTTGTCGTAAATTTCCAAAGTACTCCATATAATATTGGAAAACTTCGTTTAATACTTATATGTACGTAATTATGTAAATCCTAAGGGATACAAAAACAATTTTTTTAAACCAAACAATTTACAATCTTAATTTTAGCTATTACATTCAACTTTGAATAACCTAGATCATGTAGTCCCCGTTGTGTACTTGTGTTTGTGACTATTTGCATGCAATTAGTATGTTTTTTTTTTTATCAGTTGTTTGAATCAGCTAGCCATTATTACAAGAATTATATTGACAAGGATTATATTTTTATTAATGATTAGTAGATTGTTGTTGAAATTATATGGGAGACTGATTACTGTCCCAAACATAGAGATACAATATGATTTTTACTAAAATTGCTTATTTGCATTATATGAATTGAACAACTTATTTAGGGAAATAAAGATCAATACAATCAAGTCTGATACGCTAAGAAACATTATTTCTTTCCTAACTAGCAAGTAGAATATCTTAACATCCCAAAATTACAAATTGAATTCTAGCCTTAAAATCCAAAATAATTTAATGCATAATTTGCTTTTTATGCAAGAAATTTATTACTATAATATGGTAGATATAATAATAATTGAATAGTGTGAAAATAAGAGTATACGAGTAATTTGTTTAAGAATTATTTTTGAGCAAGGTAACAATTAATAGTCCGTAATTAGTTTTAAATTTCTTCGTTGGACACAAACTAGTATAAAAATTAAGTCAATTTAATTGTCTATATTTTATGTAGGTTTAAACGTGTCAATTAAAAACAGACTTGACTTAATTTAATAATAATAGCTTTATCTTTCCTTCAAAAAATAAAAAATTGTCTAAATTCTATGCCAATTTAAACGTGTCGACTAAAAACGATCTGAATTTGTTCTCTAGTTCATACAGCAATATACGATTCCTGGAAGCTCATTCTCTGCAGTCCATGCAGCAAGGGAGTATTTTAAAATTTTACGAAACTAATAAGCATAACATTTTTCAAAGTTTTGGATTTATATTTCACAAGCATTCATGACTTTAAAATAAAAGCTTATGCTTAGATTAATCTGAATATAAAGGTATGTCAAGAAAACTAACCCGAAGATACAGAATCAGAAAACACAATATTCATTAAAATTGGGTGCTTATTAGGGAAGGAGGTGCAACATTTCATGACAATGGCAGCTAACCTCAGAAGAGTCGAGACTCAGATGTAACCTCAGTCCTCATGTTCACAAATTTTGTTGCTTGCTAAGCCTTCTAAGACATTAAGGGTCTGCTTACTTGAGCAGCACAGTACATATAGCAAATTAATGACGCAAAACCTGTAATCATCAATTGAATCACAAGTGCAAGCAGTGAGCTGCTACATTACCGGTATAATCTTCAGTACAAAATTTCTCATTAAGTGTAAAACACTGCCTGCCGATGGTTGAAGCTAGTATTCATAATAATACTTGCCTCGAGAGAAGCCAAACAAAGAGGAACATTAGCAACTACATGATATATTTATAAACAAGATACAACCCTCATTGAGGAAACAGTAATTGTGCCTTTTTGCACACCGTACATTTTCCGAAATACATATAGACAGTGCATTTCAAGGCATGCTCTCCCTCATCGTCATTGGGATGACTGACAGCAATAATAGAAAGACCTTTCAGGCTTTCAGGCAATTTACTCCCTATCAAGGCGATCATCTTCATTGTTTGGTGAAAGTGAAAGTAGTTCCGTCAGTTGTGTTCGGTATTCAAGACCTCTAACGTAGTGTCCCAACAGCATGCACCTTAACAAACAAAATAAACAAATGAAGCATCTATTAACCATCTTCTGTACACGCAAGGTGCTACTAGCACTCTAGCATAATAGGATGATACCAATCTCTACAACTGAGAAACCTAACTCCAAGACTGAAAAGCACTCTCTCTCTCTCTCTCTCTCTCTCTAACACACACACACACACACACATAATAAAAGCAAAAAGGTCGGAAGGCAAGAGAGAAGATGAGCTCAGAAGACTAACCAGAATATAAGACGTGCAAGATAATCTCTGGTCAGTGAAATTATGGGCTGAAAATTAAGCGAAGTGTTTTCAATAAGTTCCGCACAGTCTTCGTTTTCAACATTTAAAGCTCCAGCAGCATTCTTCTCTGACAGAGGAGGGGCCTTTGAGTGCATCTTTGGAGATAATGTTGCAAGGAGACCATGGACAACAGAATGAATTGTTTCTTTGACTTCAGCAGAGGTTGGTTCTGACAACTCTGCCACCTATACCAACGAGTCAAATGGTCATGAGAAGGAAAGTTTAGTGTAAGCATGTTGATCAACAATAACATTTATAGCAAGGGTAAAATCAATTGTACCACATGTTATATTTCATAGAAGTTCTATCTCACCAAGCCATCCTAAATCTCAATTTCTATATATCAACCTGTTATTATTTGGTCTCAAAGAAAATGTGAAACGTGGCAAATCCAGTCCGAATCTGATCTAAAAATGGACTGGTACTCTCCGAATCTAACTTTCCCAGTTTGCTCTGCAATCCACAAAATTCACGTGATTCTAGTCTTTATATTTAACTGGTTCAATTTTGGTAAAGTCTGGATGTGGATAGACGTATGTCTAAAGTCTCTCAACAAACCCATCGAACCCCCTCCCCTTCTCATATGGTCAAAGTAATATGGTCAAGTTGTATTCTTGATAGAATGCATATATATAGGAAAAAATCATCACAAATCATAATGTAATAGCAAGAGTCATATTGATCATAGCCATAGCAAAGAATGACTAGTGCAAATTACGTTAAAGAGGCAGAGATTATTTTCTAACCTTCTCAGGTTGCAATGAGCGCAGGTAATCCAACAACTCATTCTTTTCCTCTCCCACAAATTGTTGCATCTGAAGAGCAGCATTCTTCCTCTTGACTTCTCTCAGCTCCTTTTTAATCAATATCAAGTAAGATTATGAGAAAGTGTCTTACCATTCATCAACAAGTAATCAGCATTTTCTCAACCAAGATTGAGTAAATAACATAAACATTTCAATATTTCATAATAATCTGGCTCATAATTTTGAAATATTTTAAACACTACTTTGACCTCTATTGATGGTATTAATTTACTAAAGAAATTTTCTGGGTGAGGCAAGTATTGAAGAAAAGCACATTACACGTAAGCTTCAAATGGCAGACTGAGAAGCTATCCCGTCAATATAACAAAATAAATACCTTCTTAGTAGCAGATAACCGAGAACGCAAGTGACGAATGTAGGAC